TGTGATAGGGTCTGTCTGCCAACATAAGAGCAAGTAGGATCAGGGCTAGAGTTCAGATTTGTACTTTGGCCTTCTTCAGTGTATTATCTGACACATTTATTACATTGGAAGATAGTATATTACTGTAGATGGAGAATCAGCCCCTTAGCCCATGGACTTCACCAAAACATTTCCGGCAATTTGACCTTGTAATAGTACCTTTAATTTTTAAAAAATGTTTTTAATTATATGAAAAGGAAATAGATTAATACCTTTTAAAAGCTGTTTTTCTCAAGGGTTTAAAAATGATCCTTTGTTCTAAAAAGGTTTTTCTACAAGTATTAACTTATAAGTATGAACTTAATTCAGTCAAAAAGTGTCTAAAAACATATACCAAATTAAAGATAAGATGTGATGATGTTTACTAACTCAGTGCCTGAAAAAGACACACGTACTCCTGGGAGTAGGACTGCAGAGAGTGAAGCATGGACCAGGGTTGGGACAGCTGGCAAGGGATGCCCTGCAGCACTAAAGGTAGTCAGCAGGCCTGCCAAAGAAGGAGACACTGCCAAAACTCAGTCTCTTACTCTATTTGGGAACTCCTAGCAGTGTCATCCAGGCTAGTAGTGCTTTTACACCTTAGATGAAATTCAAGTTCCCTGCACTGTCCATACATTTGTGTCAACAACTACTGCTTCACAGAAGTCCAGCTCAGAGGTTCTGGACTGCAATCTGCAATCTGAGCTCAGAAAAATCAGCAGCTCTCAAGGTTGCCTTATTCAAGTTCACTATTTTTAGATTTCCACAAGGCAGAGAAGTCATCAGGGCAAAGGGGCGCAACGTGACATAGGTACCACTAAGGGATTTCTCAGGCAGTACACCAGGGATTTATCTTGACCCTCATCCCTGAAATGAGTTGAGACTATTCAGGCTGAAATAATCAATTTCTTCTTTGTCTTACATTCCAACCCTAAGCCTAACCTTCCTGTCTATCCTGACACTGGCTGGGTTATAATCTCTCCATCAGCCCACAGCCCTTATGTACTTTACAGAGACCACACATGGAAGGACTGGTGTTATGGATGTATCCACTAAAACCAGATTTTCTCTAGCATCTACTATACATCCAAATTTCTCTCCATCATCTCCTCCACCACATGTGAACACATAGACTGTCATTTCTGGGTACAGCAAAAGGGATTTATGCTGCAACAGTCAAGCTCCTGTTTTATGATGCAGTTTTATGTGCCTTTCCTACTATTCTGTAATTCCTGCCTCTTATACTCCTTTTCTCAACCTCTCACCTTCTTAATGACAAGCGAGTGCACCTTGTCATTTAAAAAGCAAAAATCTTCAGGTCAAGAAATCTGCTACACATCAGGCTTCTTAGCTGTTTGGTAAATGTAAAAATTCTCCTGGTCAGGCAGCAGTGAAGTAAATCGGTGCATATCCTGGGATTCATAGGAAAGGGCACTGCCTCACTGAATGACTACAGCTATTATTGGTAATTGTTTTTCAAGAACTCTCACATTAACATTGTATCATGGCAAGCAATCTAACAACCTCTCAGGATGATCATTCCAACAATAAAAAGATACATAAAACAAATTTGCTAAAATGCAGTCATGCATGTCCTGAAATGAAATATCAATCTATGGAATTGCTCTGAAAGGAGATAACTGACTAATATCCTTGACAGTGGGTTCCAGTGCTCCTAGAGTTGTATAAGAGCCTATCACAGCCCCAAGTGTCTTCTTCATGAAGGTCAACCTCACTATAGTGCATTTATGACCAGTCATTTTCTGTCTAGTTTCCAAATAAGCATTTGAGCAGACCATGCATTTTTTTCCTCAATTGGCTATTCTCAGCTAAAAAATTGTTTCAGAGATCCTTAGCAATAACACAGCCCTTGAGAGAAAAGCTTTTCTGCATTAGAAATTTGATTGACACCATGAATGATAACATCCAAGCATCAAATTTAATGAGATTTCTACAAAAATGAGTGACATCTGCATAGCACTCATGTCCTGGCTAACTGTCACACATTTGTCATCACTGAGGCCTTTGTCCTTTATTAATCCACTTTCAAGAATGCCTGCTGTTGGAAATTTAAATGCTTTTTAGCAGTCACCCTGCAGACTGTGCAAGAGCACACATCTACGAAAGCATAATGACACACTGTCATGCCTAGGAATGCATTTTAAACATTTAAAAAACAGGAGAGAACTCTGCCAACAAAATATATTGAGAATTTAGCAGGGGATGTCTGCATAAATATTATTTTACATGCTTTAATGTAAGCAAGGTGCATATTCTTTTATTATAATATGGTGTCTAGAAACACTTTAAAAATATTCAGAATGCATGGAAGAAATATTGTTATAAAGGAAATGTACTAAAATATTTCCTTTTAATCTTGTTTGTGCTTGGGACTATTATATAATACTGACCTAGGGCTCCAACCCAGTAAAAGCATATGATTGTATCAAAATCCCAGCTTTCCTCTAAACTTTCCCTCATAGCTACAAATAAAAATTTCACTAGTATTTTCCTAGATCAACAGATAGCCTGAAACAGTACAGGATGGAGATTGAAGAATCACCCTATTTTATTAAATTAGCCCCAGGACTTTCTCTTCTGAGACAGAGATCTGACCTGGTGCTTCCCAACAAAGAACAGCACACACTTGGCAGGAAGGCAGGAGTGCAGAGAACATTTTCTGCAATGTTTTTTCCACGAAAGAAAAACAAACCATTCCCACTGCAAATGAAATGGGACTCCAGAAGGCCAGGAGCTGCAAGGGGTCCAATGGGAGGCACCATCTTATTCCAGTCATTGTTTATGGCTCAATCAAAGGCACTGACAGCAACAGAGATGAGCCTGGTGAGCAGGCAGAGCAAGGGAAGAGGAGAGATTCCCAGCAATGAAGACGTTAATTGCCCATGGAAGTGGAAAACCCTGTTCCATGTTCTTCCTATGGCCCAGAGCCATATCCTGAGCTCCTGTGAAGACTGCAGTGTGTATGAAGACATTCTTCCATCATACATCCATAGTACTTAAATTTACTGAATTGAATCTCCTGAATTTCAAACATATCTTTCTCTTTCTTTCCACTATTATTTCTAAATGCCATGTATTTCCAACATTTTATTGTCAATTAGTCACTTGTAGGTCATTGCCAAGTAAATAGAGGCAAGTGAATAGCACAATTTGCTCTCTCATTTATAGGATTCAATGTTTCTTTCACTCTGAATGTATTGAGTCCAACTATTTCAAAATTCTAATCCTGCTACTATCACAGTCTATGTTTTAGTTGGAGGCATGTCAGAGGATACATAAAGCTGTTTGCAGCTGCAAATGACAAAAAATCACACTATATACAAATACTTCAATTAATGGGTTTTTTTAGCCTTTGATATTCAGATGCATTTGTTTCTAATCTTGCACTAAGAAATCCAGCCAGAAAATATTTGATTGCATGAAATAGCACTAATATATAAAAATGTTGAACTCTGCAGTGCAGAAGTAGTGGCTGCAACTTCTTCTTCAAAGGGAGGCATCAGATCCCTGTGTTTTCCACCTTGATCTGCAGGTGCTGAGCTCTGACACTTCAGCAAGGAGGACAGCACCACTCACCAGAGCTCAGAGGAATGGAGGTTTCCAAAGGTCCTACTCTGCTACAGCTCATGATATGTTCAAACAGCATTGGGCTCCCTCAAAACTGTAACAGTGATGGCTTTATATTAACAAAGTTTTGTTCCTTTCCTGCAGTTTCATTTTGGGAGAAAGTGCCCATTAGTGCATTTCTGATTTCACAGTCCTCAGTCTGTGTAGGAGCACAAGCAAAACATCAGCCTTAAATAGCAAGAAGATGGAAAACAATTAGAAGGGCCTTGGACACAAAAAAATATGTATTTTTCAGAAATAATTAAGCTATGGATATAAAATGAATATTTTATGGAAGTATCAAGTTCTGTTCTCTAGGACTTATATAAGCTTTTAAGTATAATAAAACACAAGAAAGAGCTTTAGTTGGCAATCACACATGACAGAGACACACATTTTCCCCAAAACCTGTTGTTAAAAAAAAATGTGGAGGAGAATCCTGCACCAGGACAAACTTGCCTCCAATTTAGTTCAGCAAGTGTAAATGGACAATATTTTCAAACACCATCATATCAATCATCAAGAAGAATTAAATAAGAAAATTATGGGTGAAAGTGGGATGCTACAGCCACATTTTTCCTTGTAAAGTCATGTTTGTTACCAGAGACCTCACTATTGCAGCAGTCACATAGTGTATACAAATGGTGAGTAGAATACTCTCATTTAGAGCAGCTAAATGGAAAAAAAAATCCTTTTCAAATTAAGAAGTTTCTGTGGTTTTGGGGGGTTTAATGGCCCCTAGTAATTTCAGCTTTTAAAATATTTGGGTTTGGGTTTTTATTTTAGTTTTAGTAGCTTTCCATCAAAGAGGCAATAGACTTCCTGCAGGAATCCAGGTGGCTATCCTGAATAAGTGAATTTGAGAAAAAGGATGAAAGCTAATTCTTGATTCAGGTATTAGTGATATTATTGTTCTTCATGAAGAACATCCTCCTATGCTTCGTTTTTCTTACCATCTGTCTTTCTCAGTGATAAGTCTCACACAAGGAGATGACTGTGACTGTTCAGTTTATCCTGGATGCTTCTTAAAATTCTTCTTTTTTTTTTCCTCTAATTTTAGGTTCAGAACAATTACAATGGAGTTTTGGGGGTGTTTTTTAATCTGTTTCTATTTTTAGTTCTTCAGCTGTCACTCTGACAAGTTAATTGATGTTCACTCACGCAGCATCTAAAGAGTAGCAACAATCACAGTTTACCATCAGAAATCGTGGAAATTATGTAGCACTGTGTATCTTAGCTCTTGTATTTCATGGATATTGAACTCCACTGGGTCCCTACAGAATGCATCTCCTATATTAATGCTGCACATCCACGATGCTGGTGTAGTCTGTTTGATTATTCCACTTTATTTCTAGGTCCTCCTGGTCCCCCAGGGGTTGTAATAGTGGAGGAAATTACAGACACAACAGCAACACTCTCCTGGAGTCCTGGGGCAGACAATCACAGCCCTATCTCCCTCTACAACCTGCAAGCACGCAGTCCATTTTCTCTTGGCTGGCAGACCGTAAAAACAGGTGAGAAAAATTTTCAAACAGCACAAGTAGACTTTTCAAAACTCCTGATCATAACAGTAATAATCACTTGCAACTACAGGAACAAATACTCTTAAGAAAACAATGACAAATTAAAATCACTGATTTTTTTTTTTTTATTCCTTTTGTGTTACTTAGCAACAGCTCTGAAAGGACAACACAAAGACACCTGCCACGATGCATCTGTGAATAAGCAGAAAACTCTCCCCTAAATCCTTCAATGTGTCTTTTCAGGAATACTACAGTGCCAAAAACCTAGCTGCGAGTTCTGACATATTAGATCCTTGATGTCCATCATTTCTAATGACCATGTTGTACCACAAAATCTGCTTTCTGTTGAGATACTGCACATTCACTTCAGATTTCTGAGTGACCTATATTTTATTTCTTTATTGTCTCCAGTTCCAGATCTGATAAGTGGTGACATGGAGTCTGCTATGGCTGTGGAACTGAACCCTTGGGTGGAGTATGAGTTCAGAGTAGTAGCAACCAATAAAATTGGGACTGGAGACCCAAGTGCACCATCGCGAGTGATCAGAACCAATGAAGCAGGTAATAAAAATATTATTTTTACAGCACTACCAGAAACAAGAACTGTTTTAATATAACAATAGACCTAATCTCTTTTCACTGGTACACATCTGTGTGTCCAGTAATCACTGTTCCAAGGTGACATTCTTTATACTGGGGAGCCAGTTTGTTTTAATTACAGGAATATTGCTTAACTTACAGAAAATTCAAATAAAACTATTCCCTGCTCTTCTACTCCATCTGAGCCATCTTACTTTTTATCTTACACTTCAGCCATTGCTGTCTTCCCTCTGATAAACTATTGCTGCTCTTAAAGTAGGCTCTTTTGAAGCAAACAGCTGCTACTAAGCATCCTCTTCCCCCAAATTTTTCACAACTTCTCTCACTGACAGAGCATGGGACTTTTTCAGCAAGATAGGGAAGTAATAAAAAGCTGCTTAATTTAAAATACCTTTTATTTTAAATGTATCATAAGATTTGGAATCATTGACAAAAACGTGGGCAGAATGAAGGATGATAAAGAAGATAAAGAAGATAAGAAGGACTGGAAATCTGAGAAAAATACCTAGGCACTTAGAAAGACATGTTTTAAGAAGCAGAAAGAAATAGAGATCTGATTTGGACAAAGCCTCAGATGAGAACTACATGTCAGAACACTTTGAGGTTATTCTTCATTCTTCTTTGTCATTTAGGATGCCTAGACAGATTATTTTGTGTTTTGATGTTTCATCAGTTGAATAATTTTTAAGTAACCTGTTTAACCATTGTGAAGACCTCGTGCCTGCCTCCTCAGTGACCTCCCTGCAGGCACTGGGAGCTGCAGTTAAGCCCCCAACACTATCTCTGGGCTGAACAAGCCCAGCTTCCCCAGCCTCTCCTCACAAGGAACTGCTCCAGCTCCTCCTCCACCCCAGCGGCCTCCCCTGAACTTGTACTAGTTGGCCAATGTCTTTCAATTGTAGCACCCAAAATTGGATGCCCTATTTCAGATGAAGTCTAACAAACCTATTTGCAGTTGAAATAAGACATATTTGTTTATCTGCTTTAAATAATGGCGCAGTTGCTAGCTGATATTAAATTTCACTGTACAATCACAGAACAGCACTGAAGTGATTTGATTCCCATTCATGCATGTTGAAAGATGCTTCCTTTTAAACTCTCCCTTTCACCTTCTTCAAGCACCTCACAGTGTGAAGCTCAACAACTTGATAGCAGAAGCTTCAGGCGCTCCATGCCTTGTTCCATTAAGAAAAGAAGGAAATGAAAATTAAATAAAAATCACAAGGTAGTTTCATCTCAAATTACTTTTTAAAAAATTCCCTTTTTTACCACCATCGTCCTTTTATTAATTTTGTGCCATATTTCAATGGCAATACAAATTCTTCTGGATCCTAATGTTTGAATAACTTTCCTGTTTATTTAGATAATGTGTATCAGAAAGGACAAAAACATTCCAGAAAAAGTTTATCTTGAAATAGGTTGTACTCCTGGTATTATGCTTTTTCAGACTGAGGAATATTTTCCCTGTTTTTGCAAGGATTGTTCAGTATCTTAATTGGCAAGGTGCAGTTAAACTGTGGGCTTAACTTTTTCCAACAAACTGAAGACTGAAAATGTTAAATTTAATTCAGTTTTTAGGGTCCTACATGTTCTTGTCCAATGTTTAACAAACTAAGCTGCTATTTGCTAAACCACATTCTTATAACTCAAGTGAAACTCTTCTTAATACATATTCATTTTCAATATTCTTTGCAACTTTACCTCTCTAAAAATGAATTGATAAATCATAATATTGATCAGCAAAATCAAAATTATGGGAAAGACAAAGCATGCAATGCGTGATGAATTTTCATCTGGTGCTTGGTATTCATTTCTGGGTAACATTCCACTGTTTTTGCCATCAGAAAAAACAGTCTTTAACTCAAGATACAATCTAGAATCTGCACAGAGTTGTTATATTGGGACAATAAAACAATGGATTCTGCTTTAAATAAAAAAACAAATAAATAAAAAAGCCCAAACTGTTACACATATAGTAACATCCTTTGAGAAATGACATACTGCCCATAATATGTATGGCACTCATGAAATGTCAGAGCCTTCATGATCAGCTGCATTCAGGCAGTCAACTTCTCCTGAACTTCAGATATTCCTGAAATATAGTCTGTTGCCTCTGTATTCTGAAATGCCTTTCATTGACTTTGGGAATTATCACCCTTGGTATAGTTTTCAGATGTCAAAGGGAAGAGAAACCAGTAACAGTTTTCATGGGCTTACAACAGTTTTCATATGGGTTTTCAAATTAGCACATCATTGCCTGTCTTAGTGAACCCATTCATCCATTATTTTTCACACTCTCTCTTTTACTATTTTTTTTATCTGAAAGCTTCAAGGGAGACTGTTTATTAGCACAATGCCCAGTTCTAATATCATAGGTCTCAATTTTTAAAGGACATTATGTGATAGGTCATATTTCAGAAAGAACATGGCATGAATTTCTCTACTAATGACCCAGGCAGAACAACCTGGCTATTTGCATTGATGGTAGATGTGGCCCACAAGTGGAAATGGACAGATTGCCCCTGCACTGAGTGGAAATCCAGAAATATTAATCTCCCAGCTGAGAAAGTGACTGTGACTCGTATTCAGATAAGAGTTGAGACCCATAAGGCTGAATGGTAGCTGTGTAGACAATCCACAGAGGTAGCAAATGTGTGATTCTGGTTCCATTATTTTACATTTAAATGGAAATATGCATCTGTAGTTTTTTATCCCCACACTTCACTTATTTTATCATTCCTTATCCAAGATAGCAACACCACCATATATTAGTCCATTATCTAAAAATACCTACAAAATAGTAATTGAGATGGTGTAAGGAAACTAACAGAATAATAAACAGGTTTTGACTTGCTTTAATTTTTTTAATTAAACTCTAATCTTGTTACTTAGCTCATATTTAGTTAACATGATTGCTTTTCGTTGCTGCTCCCATTGGAACAGAAAATACAGCAATTTTCTGGCACATCTAACTTACAGCCAGCTGCTGCATTTTTGTCAGTTCTCGCACTGATACATATTTTACAGGTCCACAAGTTGCAAAGAGCCAATAATATGAATTTAAACATGTCTGGCATTCCATTAAGACAGTCAGGGCATTTGAAGCCTGGGGGCAAAGCACTGGTTACATTATCTATTCATGGGGAAACATGGAGAGAGAGAAATTGAGTGGAATCAAAGTTTAACCTGTTAATCATGCATGCAAACTTTATTTTAGGAGGTAACAATGTAATGCAGTCTACTAGACTGTACACTTGCTGTATTTTTAAAAAATCCTTATGTTGCATTAAGTTGCCCTTTTTCTCAGCTTGAATTCCTTCACAGCATAACAAGAAATGTCTCTGTCCCAGGAAAAAAGCTGACAATTTTAGACTGTCTTCATTTTCAGGGGTTTTGTTTTTGGCTTTGGGGGTACTGCTTTATTTGTGATTTATATAAAAGAAGTTCCAGCTTTTCCCATTATCAAAGCTGTTTTTGCATTAGGAAAAAAATATATGGATAACCTCCTGCATCTGGGACATTTGCAGATGAAGGTATGGTTCTGCTAAAGCCTTTGTAGAAAATGTGTTTTTTCCATGAAGAAAAACAAAAGGAGAAAGTAGGCTGTAATCACTGACTGGAGGCTACTTAGGCTTTGGCTTGCAGGCTTAGACTAATACTAACAAGGAATCCAAATATGTGTGTGACATAAAATGGAGGAGAAAAGATCTGTGCTTTTCCCACAGTATTTTATGTATGCCACAACATTTGGGATTTCAGCCCTATAGGTGGTAATTTGGAGACTATTTAGGCAGACTCCTGCAGACACATATGACCCTCTTGTCAGTGAATAGAACTGAATTCAAGCTCATAATTAATGACAAATATTAATAATACAGAGGAAATTAAAACAACATGTCAGATGCTGAGATCAGTAGGGACATCCTTGTTTTCTAGTAGCTGAATATGTGTGCCATCCATTTCTGAGATGCTGTCTTGTTGTACATTTCATTCCTGAACAGGTGAAATGTGCCTTGTTATTCTGGGAGGGTGATAGCTTGAGGGCTGGTCTTTCAGAGAGTGAAAGAATTTTCACTTAACACCCTCCTTTCCCTAGATGTGTACTGCAGGAGACATATAGAGATACACATACACTTACATACATGCATATAGAGGGAGAACAGAAAGCAACTGGGAAGAAAAAATTAAATGTGTTATACCTTTGGTCTCACATTAAACAGTTCTGCCAAGCTGGTAACAAGCCCTCATTCCCCTGCCTATATCTTTTTTACAGCTAAAAAAATGTTGTTTTTCAAGCTACATCTATATCTTAAGTTATAAAAACTTTAAAATAAATAAGTAACAGCAACTGCAACTTGAGAAGAGGTATAATAATTTCTTAAGGACTAAAGCCAAATTTATTAATTTATCTCCAAGAAAAATGTAGCAATATCAACATTTTCCTTCTTTTTCTTTATTTGACAAAAGCTTCAGAATTTATATAAAAAGTATCCATGTGGAAAATATCTTAAAAAATACAGGATTCAAGTAAAGTGAGAAAGACCTTGTGAACTAACTATGGAATTGGGATTTGGGAAATCTGGACTCATTTGGCTATGAGAAAACTACAAATTTGTGCTGCTCAGCTCAGCATGTCTAAATCTAAAAACAGGAGTTTAGCATGACTATTATTTCTCTTTGTGTTCCCTTTAGCTCATCTATTCCCTATTAAGGGATAGGGACCAAACCTAGGCACAGGTTTCTACTACAATAGTGCAATTAATTATATTCAGTTACAATCAATTATAATTTTGGCTGCTAAATACTTTTGTTCTTCTCAAAAATTAAGACAGACTACAAAATTAAGAATCTCTTAGTAATATTTGCTTTTTGTAATAAACAAAACACATTGAAACAAGCCACTAGACATTTACTTGGGGAAAAAAGTAAACAAACAAAAGCACAAAACAGAAATACTTTTAAATTATGAATTATTCATTCAATAATATTTTTAAAAATTTATTTGCATGACTGGCATGTTAAAAAGAGCATGGACTGGACTACAAGTAGTTTCAGCTTTCCAAGGTTCACTGTGATTTTTTCATATTTATTGGTTGCTTACTTACTTTTCTTTAGCAAATTAGAACTAAAATAGTGATTTTGGATTAAAATTTAAAATCTCTGTCAACTCAAGCTAAAATATTCTCATCTGTCTTTCTAGTTTTAATTTTTTCTATTTCTAAAAATTCAAGTAAAACTCAAATAATATATATATTTTAAGGTCAAATTGCTAGGCTTCATTTTTTCTAATGTAAAAATGAAATATTTAGTAAGTAATAGTATTTTTCCTAAAACTGAGTAGCAAAAATCTTTGAATTAGTTCATCTTTGAAGTCCAATATTTTTATTTAAAAAATAAACCAAAAACATAAAATTAAAAAACAAAACCCACAGATAATCCATCAGGCATGAAGAGTGATGAAAAAGGAATTTTAAAAATCTAATTAAATCACCATAAAGCACAGAGAATTTTTCAAAATTCTGGACACGACACAGTGGAATTCTGGAAAGAAAGTGAACATCTACCCCATATGTTTGAGGTTTCATTATTACAGCAATACCCACCACTTCAAGAGCTTCCCCGTGTAAATATTTTACATTTAAATATAGGTTTAAAATATATACAACACATCATCAACATTTTTCAGCACTTTATAACCACTGTTCCCATACATAAAACCCTCAGCAATAGCAATTCTGTGTAAAAATTTTTTTCCTAAATTAAAACGCTCTGCTTTTCGTCCATATTTGGCTTATAGTGATAAGATACACATGAATTATTAAACAATTGTCATGGCTTCCTGTATAAGCTTTATCCTTCCATATCACCTTTTCTTCATTTATATCTTAAGTATCTTGTGAAATGCTTTGTAGGACTGCTGAGGGCTACGTTCTCTATGCCTGCTCTTAGAGAAAATGTTAATGGGTTTTTTGTTGGGTTTAGACAGATAAGTTTTAATAGAGTTTAATTTGACTTTCATTTCCAGCATATCACAGTAATTTCATGAAAATGGAAAACAGTAAGAAAAAAATCCTGCTCTTTGCATTCAAATCAAGCTACTGGCACATTCATTTCAAGGTTTTTGTTTGCACTAAGTGGGGAGCTTATTTATGCAGAAGAAAAATAGTAAACTTCTCCGTTTTGATAAACCCTAAACAAAAAAGGTCCTGATGTTCTTGTTCCCCAGGCACATGTATCCTTTTTACAGGGGTCAAGTTTAAGTATCATTTTTGTGCATTTGGTACAAGTGCATCTCCATAAGTGCCACTGCTGAGAATTAACAGCATAAAGATTGGGAAATCATTAATTGTATGGCAACAAACTTAGGCCATGAGTGAGTAAATTCAGATATAACATTGATATAAAGGAGATGGTGCTGAAAGCAGGGATGACGTACAGCCTTGGTGCCTGGCAAAAAATGCTTTCTTTTAATAGTTTGCTACACTTAATAGTTACTCATTTCAAACTGTCTCTTTCTAACTGTGTACGCTCTGCCTTGCTGCCGTGCCGAGGAAATTTATTCTTTTGACACATTTATTCTTTTAATGGTTATTCATTTGAAAGAGTTTCACTGTGTGAGTGTACATTTTAGTTTTGTGCAAAAGAAATTCATCGTTTTGACAGTTTTATTCTTTTAACATTTATTCATTTAAATAGGGCCACAATCTGCAATGCTGTTAACAAGAAAACTCTAGAAAGAGGGTTGGATGCTTCAAAGGAATACAGCATACTCTCTTATTTCTAATGTGACAGGCACCTACATAAAAACTTCATTTGTCTCTATAATTTACCCAAAAATACCTTAGAAAGGCAAGAGAAAAATGGATGCTAAACAAGGTCTAAATATGCTCCATTAGAGACAGCATCATAATTTTTGGGTGTTAATTAACTCAGATGAGGCTTTATCTGCATCTTTTCATGCTAGACCATTCGTCACACTGTTGCACATTGATTGTATTCTTTCTACTCCTTTTTTTAAAGCCAGAGGGAAATTCTCTTTCTGAAAGGAAAACTTCATTGCCTTTTTGCCATGTCAAAGGGAGGCAAGAAGGCAGAAGGCAGGAGGGAGGGAGGGAGGGAGGAAAGGAGGAAGGGAGGGAAGTCGAAGGCACCATATTTTCCAGATAAACACAGGTTTATTGGAGAGAAACAAAATAGAAATCTCCCCTATCAGTCTGCTAAGAGCCTCAGATAAAATAACACCTGCCTTGTTTCCAACAGTATTAATCAGCATCTGCCCTATGCTTTGTAGGATTGCATCATTTATGAGGAAAAGCAGAATCGGGCTTCTGTTCTTTACAGGGGAGTTTAGGGTTCAAAAAGTGACTACCCAAATGAATTCTGAAGTCTTAGGTGGACAAACAGGATCAAATAAAAATTGCACTTTCATTGAACTCAAGTTTTCAACGGCACAGGAAACAAAGAGGACTGTGTTTATTTATTTAAATGAATTTTATTTTGTATAGTTCAAAGGGACAGTGCTACTCACTAAATAAGCTAAACAACATGCAATAAGGCCTGAACATTTAAAGGCTCACAGTACATTTTTACCAGTGACCTATGTACTGCTGTAAAGAAGAAAATAAAAAGTTTGTATCTTAGGCCATATTTAATCAAATAGAGAATGCAGGTATTGCCTCTTCATAGTAAATAAACCCAAGACTTTGGCCATTTGAGGAGTTTCATTAAAGGCACTTAAACAAAGTAAAACAAATTATGCAATTTTAATGGAACAATTGACACTTCTGGTTTTACAAAATATGAAAATCCAAATAAAAATGGCAATGATAATTATAATTTACTTTAAATAATTTCCTCTGTTGCTCATGTGCTTTAAAGCTGCAATGATGAGCTCAATTTTTCAAGAACTGTGGGTACTGCTTCCAGTATTTTGCAAGAAATCATAAGGGATGTTTAAGGTTGATTGCTTTAAAATTTCTTAAAGTTGGATCCCCAGGAGAGCAATGAAAAATAAATTTACAATAATTAAAACATTCTAAATCACTACCTGAAAAACTACCTGAAAAATAATACAGACATTATGAATGATGTCCTATTTACCTGAAATCCTAAATATGTCAGGTTTCCTGGAATTTCAAGTTGTTCATTAAAAAAGACGAACATTAACAACGCAATTCCTGTTTTATCTCTTAGGTGATCTGTACAATGAAATTTTTACCAATTAGCAGAAGACCTAGTGCTTAAGCAGTTTTTTATTCCAATATTATTTTCATTCTCAGCTTATGTTTTGTTTGATTTTTCTAGCTTGTGTGTGCAATTCCCTGAAATGAGGCTTGAGCAAATTTCTTTACCACAGAATGCTATGTTTTTATTTCTGTCCTGATTTAACAGTCTCATGTCTTCTGCAGAAATTTATTACAATGGGGAAAACTTCAATAACTTGGATATTCTGGTTTGTTTTGGTTTGTTTTTTCTTTTTGCACACAGTGCCAAAGACACCTCCAGCTAACGTAAGTGGCAGAAGTGGAAGGAGACATGAATTAGTAATAGCATGGGAGGTAAGGGATTTTTCTGTTTAAAAGTTTTGTTTCATGTTAACTTCTTTGAGGCCAAAGTAAAGAGTGCTCTACTGGGGTTTCCTTTCAACAAAACTTGTCAACACATGAACACAAAATACTACTCTTAAATATGCTCTAAAATTTCAAAGTACTGTGGATTTTCATGAGATTTGAGTAGAAGACATCGCATCAGCTCCAAAGTTGTAATTAATCAGGCTTTTCTTCCTGATCTGCTGCATGGGTTATTTTGATTTTTCTGGAATTTATGTAAACACCGGATTAAATAATACCTAAGAGGAGGAAAGACATGTAAAATTTTTTGAAAGCCAATTAAAAAACAATCATTTTTAATTGTTGAATAATAATAAACTAAAGAGAATCTTGGGAACATATTTGGGATGCAAGATGCAACACAAATGTATGCTCATGCCAGTGAGAGAGTTGCTTTCTCTGCTAATTATAAAAATAGAAGAACAGAGACCTTTCTTAAGGAATTTTCAAAACTTCTAGATTCATTATGAACAGTTTCAGATTCATCAAAATTCATATACACATATATATATGTATACATACTCAAGAAAAATTCCATCAAATAAAGATATGGGGTTATAATGAAAAAAGTTTAAGCTTAGCCAGTTTAAGGAGTGATTCAGGTGGTAAGAGACACACCAAATTCTAATTGTTTAAATTGGCAAATTTTAGCACATCTAAAGAGATTGCCTTCTATTGGTACATCTGCCTGTTTCGACATCAGCTACCAAAGACACCTGAGACAGAACTGATTTCAGTTTACTTTGTATTCTATAAGGGTAAATATCAACATCTCTCTTATTAGGAGAGAATTTGCTGAATCCTGAACAAAAACACCAGTTGGGTAGAACTCTGTCTGATGTGAACAAGCCTAATCTCAGTCCCTAATAAACTATAGTAGTATGGAGTATTCATATTAAGTGTCTATAGCACTTCTCAGGTGACTGGGTTGGGGGACTACTGGACAGTGTTATAAATTCCACTCCATCAAGGGCCAGAGTTTTCTTCCCAAAGAAATCAGAGAACCATGGGTGAGACAAGATTGCAAAGTCTGTCTTAGTTTTTCATCCTCTGCCCATGGAGTTATGATTCCTTTTTTTTTTTCTGGGATGTGCAGTGCACAGCTTCAGAAGGATGGCTAGAAAATTTTGTCTGCAAGTGAAGTGCCAGTTGATGAGACATTCATTTGAAACATGGAGGGGAGAGGATTCAGTGTTGCCTGTGGCCCAGCTCTGATTCATTTGTCCATTATCTGCATATCTATGATGGGCATTTCAAGAGATGGGGTTTAAACACCCATTTTTGGACATTTCACAAAGGTTTAATATGCAGACAGCTGTTAAATATAATCTAGTCCCTAAACTAGTCCATTGACTTCATAATAAATGTAAGCTACTGCTAATTTACTAATTAGCATGAAAAGTTCCATTCATTGAGTCAGACAAGTAAGTTTTTAGTTTTTGCACTGTTCAGACTCTAAGACAGATAAATCCCTCTTCTATCTGCCTCCTCGTGTCAGATACATCCCAATTTAAGTGGCTAATTTCACAGGTCCTCTGAGGAGAGAAAAGAAAATGTGTTATTTTCCACAAAAAAAAAGTAAAAAACTTTTTGAGACCAAGAACAACTTAGATTTATTAAAACATATTCTAAGTATTACGTTGAACCCTGGAATTGAATGTCTAAGACCTAACACCCTATTTGGAACAGAATTTAGACAGTCTGGCACCTAAAACCTGAAAGGGTCACACCACAGAAGGTATCACACGCATCATCTTACTCAAAATAAATTGGTCTATATTTTTAACAAGGCCACTGATAGGGCTATTCCACCTACAGATCACTGGTTAAAGCATCCCAATAAAAAGTGGAACATAAAAAAAAACACTTTTCTGAGCACAAGAGCTCTTTCTTCCCTAGGACAATGACTTGGTTATGGTGGTTAGGTGAGGAAGCTCTCTTAGATGGTACCTCTTTTGAAGCAATAGTCCTTATGAGGACAGGTATGTTAAGTAAATCCTATAATGGAACTGTGATTTTTTTTCCTAAATTAGTAAAACTATTTCCAATCACAATTAAGTTTCTGAACTTAATGTTTCAGCCAGTGTCAGAAGAGTTTCAGAGTGGAGAAGGATTTGGATATATTGTAGCCTTCAGACCCAATGGAACACGTGGATGGAAGGAAAAAATGGTGACATCTTCAGATGCCTCAAAATTCATCTACAGAGATGAAAGTGTCCCACCTCTGACTCCTTTTGAGGTGAAAGTTGGTGTTTACAACAACAAAGGAGATGGTCCCTTCAGCCCTATTGTAGTCATCTGCTCAGCTGAAGGAGGTCAGTTCAACGTGAAGTGAAATTGCATATTGTGAACTATATTCACCTTTTCGCCTTTTATGTATAATGCATGCTCTTATAACACACTCTTTAAACCTTAAATTACAATTTCCTTGCAGATCTGCTAAACAATATTAAACAGGTTTTGCAGAGAAGGAAGTGAACTAATTTGCCAAGTTTACCTAGAAGGAAATTACAAGGTTTAGGAATGGACTTCACGCCAAAGCCATGAAGCTTCACCCTTTCTATGAAATCATTGAAAAAATTGGCCTTAATTTTAGACAGGGTTTCTGTAACACAGAGAAAAGAAAAGATGCTATTTTCTACTGTTTCTGAGATTCATGATCCTTTTTTTGATAGGTTAATCAGACAACAGCTCAAAGAATAAATAAATTCACTTATGAATGCTCATTTCCTAGTTAATGTATTCTAAAAGTGCACAGAAATAAATTTTGTTTTAATATTTTTTTCATTAGTAGAAAGTTCTGACTTTGCATTAATGTCCCAGCCTTCAATGTGAATTATAGGAATAGTTCCCAAGAACAAATGAAAAATCCTGCTTGAAAATTTGTATTGAGAATTGCTATAAATTCTAAACAGCGTTTTGTGGGGGAGAAAAGAACCAAACAGAAACAACCAACAAACAATAATTGGTACTAGTAAAAGAAGTTGCTCTCTTTTGACAGGACCCAGTGCATGGAAATTCCCTTGCACAAAAAAGGAAAATAAATGTTATCCACAAGAATATTTTCAGAAGCTCCATTATTGAAATCCATAAATATCAGCTTTTCTTTGCTATCTTGAGTTATTCCACTGTCTCCTATTAAGAGGGTAAAAGTAACAGACCTAGTGCAGATGAGAGGGATTTCATACTCTCTCTATGAAAAAGTAATGTGAAGATAATAATACTTCATGTAAAGCTGGAAAACATTAAATGCTACTTCATATTAACCCACAATAAATCTATAACTTTGGAACCATGATGTAGCAGACACTGTCTACCACTATTCTCTCACAGTAACTACAAAGATTGGGGCTGCTGTTTTTGCTAAAATTAGTCTCATTAATTTGGTTTCTTCCACTTTTTGAATCAGGATTATCAAATAGTCATATTCTTATAAAAACAATTACATTTTAAAATGTAAAAATTTCACAGTACAAGTTGAAAAATGTACAGTTGACTTTCCTGTTCCTCAATAAAAATTGATACTGTGAGGCCAATGGTGGTGTTTATATTTTTTAATAATTTCATACTCTAATTAGAAAGTTCTTTGCAAATAAAATTTTGCAAAGGAAGGTAGACAAATACTTTATTCTTTTTTTACTAGCAAAAGCTATTTTAACAGAAGCTGAATGCTGAATTTGAAATGATTCCTTATACCTGTGCTTGTTAGTTTGACAAGACTGGAAATAGAATAATTAGCAATATATAAACAGTTTTTTTCTACCAGTTATTTTAAATTATGAGCTTGAAAAATAGTCTTAATAGAATAGTAGAAATAACTTTCTCTAGAAACCAGCTTTTCTGATTTGAATTCAGTAACTTGAAAGTATCTATCCATTACAGCTCTGCTAATTCAGTCTCTGTATGTGTCTGTACATGAGGAATTCTATGGGTCTAAATATTTTACAGGACATATTTCAGGATAAATATGGGATGCTGTGGCATTACAGTGCAAAATTAATTTATAGAAAGCTTTCCTACAGAAAAAAACAAGGTCATTTACTGAGAATTTAAAGGATCAAGGAAACAATATATTACAGCTAAATTCTGGTCAATGTGAAGGTTGAGGACAATAGACATTGTAGTTTGCTATGAAAATGGGGAACTGCTTTTGAAAGAGGTATACACTGTCATGCCTAGAGAGTTCAACAACTGAAGGTACAATTTTTCAAGGATTTCTATTGAACAGTAGATATTAAATAACAATTGACAGTACAATGTATTATGGTCCTATGGGTGATCCAGCAAAGCCTTAGCTTACTTGCTTTCCATCACACATCCAATTATTTCAGCAGACATCTAAAGAATACAATAGGATAAAAAGTTTAGGCTTTATATTACAAGTATTACATATTTATATTACAATATTACAAGTTTTCCCACATCTACAAATGGATATACAATTGTTTAATGACACCACAAATTTGTCTAAGAAAGTCTAATTCATATTGCCTTTGCTAAGCACACTGGAAAAAACAGTTTTCACGGGACAGATTCTGAACCATGAAGAAATCTCATATTAAGAAAGAATGCATCTCCTTCTTCTGTATAACTGTGACAGCACATTGTATGATTCACATTCAGAGCCCTTTGGTAGTGCCTCTGAGCTGTTCTTAAGCAAGCAACTTGGCAGGTGGTGTTGAGTAAGGTGTTTCCCTAGTGAACGCAACAGACTGCCCTCTGATTGCATGAAGTGATTCTGTCTGGGGCAAAAGGCTTAAAACATTGCCTTCTAAGTATAAGAAGTCAGAAATTTGACAAAAACACTGAGCACTTTTTCAGAAGTAAATGGAGTGGCTAATGCTTTTCTGTCTATTAAGTCAGATAACATAATAGAATCATAGAGTGGGTTGGAAGGGACCTTAAATATCGTGAATTTTAACACACTTCTGTGGGCAGAGAACCTTCCACTAACCAAGTTGCTCAAAGTCCCATCCAACCTGGCCTTGAACAGTTTCAGGGATGTGGCATTCACACATCTGGGCAACTTGTTCCAGGGTCTCACTAACTTCACAGTAACTAATTTCTTTCTAACAACTAATTTAAATCTCTCCTCTTTAAGTTTAAATCCATTTCCCTTTGTCCTGTTACTATATGCCAGTATAAAGTATCTCTGCCTTTTTTACAAGCCTTCTTTAAGTACTGGAAGACTACTAGACAGCCTCACTGGGGCCTTCTCTTCTCCAGACTGAGCAACCCCAACTCTCTCAGCCTGTCTTCGTAGGAGAGGTGCTCCAGCCCTCTGATCAACTTCATGTCCAGGTCTTTCTTGTGATGAAGACCCCAGAGCTGGATGCAGTACTGCAGGTGGGATCTCAGCAGATCAGATCAGATCAGATCAGATCGGATCAGATCTCCTCCGTTGCTCTGCTGCCCACACTGCTTTGGATACAGCCCAGGGTGTAGTTGGCTTTATGGGCTGTGAGTGCATACTGCTGGCTCATGTCCAGCTTTTCATCCATGACAACTCACAAGGTCCTCTCTTTATGGCTGCTCTCAATTAGTTCTTCCCTCATCAGTGTTTAAGACTGCTCCAGCTGAGGTGCAGAACCTTGTTAAACTTCATGAGGTTCCCACAGAACTCCTTCTATACCTTGCCCAGGTCATTCTGGATGGCATCCTCTCCTTCAAGTGTGTCAGCTGCAGCACTCAGCTTGCTGTCATCTGCATACTTGCTGAGGGTGCCCCTGATCTCACTGTCCACATCATTGATAAAGATACTGAAAAGCATTTCTCCCAAGGCAGAGCCTTGATGGATACCACTTGTCACCAGCCTCCACTTGGACATAGATCCAACAGGTATTTAGAAGACAGAATTATATCAATGGTCACTAAAACATCAATGACAGTGGTGATCCAAAGTTGAAGAGGCAAGAAAGTCTACCTGGTCATAGATTATTTAAGACCTTTTTCCTTCTTCACCAATCTTTTGACTTTATAAAAATCATCACCAGAATATAGTTCATGGGAAAGACTCTCCAGGAGCTAAAAGTGCACATGAATGTAATGGAAGAATAGAGAATAAAATGGGGAATCAGTTAAAAAGATTGTACAAAACTAGACATATAACCCATGGATAAAAGAAAAGCAAATATATATGTGACTCTCTAGAAAAGGTGTCTTAATTCAATAGGAAAGTTTGAAGGAGAAGCCTTTCCTGGAAAACTTAGGAAAGGAAATAAAGCAAATAATCAGAGAGAAAAGAAAAAACTAGATGTCACATGTTAAAAGGGATGATGGGAGCCAGGAAAGCAGCTCTTAAGAGGAAATGAGGATGATGCTCAGAAAATGCAGGATAGAAAAAAAGATGCACAATTACCTCAATAAGAAGGCAGAACAAAAGGAGACAGTAGACATTTCCAGCAGCAGGCAAGGATGAGCCTGAACCTTACATGAAGGAAAACTTTAGTAACAGAAAGAGACATGAGGGCACAGCAAATTAGGCTACCTGCCAGGAGAAAGGTTGCAGTGTGCAGGCCTGAGGCTGAAAAGGATCGTGAACAGAACAGAGAGAAATCTTCTGGCCATACTTTCTGTCAGGAAAATAAGGTATCAGATTCTTGCTAGAAAATACTGAGACAGCACTGAAATTCAGTACAGGTACAGATGATTTTTATCCACAGAACAAAAAATAATTTGAAAAAGGCACTAGACACTGAAGATAAAGCAATGAACAAAAAAAAAATGTTAACACTCTTTGTTACAGCACAAAGATTTATGAGTTCTTTTTTTATTGATGACTACATTCCACCTAAATACTGAGGTGATAAAATTCCAAGATTGATAATACAAGCTTTCAGTATCAGGGAAAACCATATGCAATCTCTATGTGTGGCTTTAATTCACTGGAAAATGAAAACTGGGGAAATCACAAATACAGTAACGAAGAAGGAAATACAAGTGTGAAGGTATGATAGCAAGAAGATGGAAAAGGCTGTGCTGTGCAGTGATGGCCAGGCTGGTTTTCTTCAACAAACATGGCTACACAAACTATGAGCTACACAAGAAAGACAAAATAAAAGTAAGAAGCTGGATGTCATAATAGGCTGATGATGTGATAATGTATCAGCAAATAAAAAATCAGTGTTTGGATAAAACAGAATAACCTTGGGTTCCATGTAATTTCGGAAAAGGGCAATTACAAAAACTGGAAGCCAAGCTAGATGTCAATTGCTGATTATCCTGATCAATTTGGATGCTGAGAAAGACATTCTAATTGAAAAATATTAAAGAATGCTGTTATGTATCAGAGAATCTAGCAGTTCAGAGTAGTTTG